ACATATTGTTAAAAGTTCAATAATGGTGTTAATGCTTAGTTGTGTGCGTTCTTTAAGATTGGTGTCATTTTGTAATTTTTGTTTGATGATATTTAACGTTTTATCAACAGGAACGTTAGTGAATAGACTAACAACATCAAAACTTACTAGAATATGGTTTGCATTTATGTCTATGTCTGATAATTTTTGTAAAAAATGTTCACAATTTTTAATATAGGAAGTTGTGTTATTTATTAGGGGATTTAAAATGTTTAAAAGATATTTGGCTAAGGGATGCGTGGGTGAATTTATACTACCAACTATTGGTCGTAAAGGAATATTAACTTTATGAATTTTTGGAACTCCGTAAAAATGTGGTGTTAATTTTGATCTAACGTAATCTGTGAATTCATGTTTAAATTTTTTTATTTATAATAATTCGATTATTAATATTGCGAAATAGGAGCCCTATTTATCAATCTGTAATAAAAGACGTGAGGAAATCCTGCCTTTTTTAAAGACAAACATTTTTGAGGCGAAATACCCAAAAAGAAGTTTGTAAAAAATGAATCCGCCTCAACCATATAGAACTTATCTACAACGTCGTTATCATTCTCAGCTTTCATACAAAATCCATCCCAATGAAAAATATGCACAAAGTTAAACAAAAACCTTTTTGCTAAAACGGTGAGTTTATCCATTAAAGAACGAAACTTGAAACGCATTACGCGAATTTTGAATCACTTTATTGAATATTTCGCTCAACAGTGTTTTTTGCACGTTAACCAGCTGCCGGAGTGCGCTAAATCTATTAATAGTGGCGAAAGTCTGATAAACTGTTAGACAGTGAAATGCCACTGTAAAACTCGAGACTTTCACGATTTTTCACGAGTTTTCACTTGCCATATGTTCAGGAAATCCCGATTTACAGAAAATGTCGTTCGGAGACACTGTTCACATTTATTTCGTCTCTTATCGCACTATTTGTTTTGTCGTGCGGTTGAGGTAAAATGACTTTCGAAGTTCCTTTCTTCGCTATCAGCTTTGCTGGGGCTCTTAATTTATCGCCATAAACGACTTGTCAATTTTAACAATCACTATGGGTTGTTTTCTTCGGATTTCCGGGCGAATCTCCACCACAAAAAAAACTAAGTCCATCGACTGATGGACTTCAACTTGTTACGTGATTCAACTTGTTACGTTAACATTTCAATGGGCGTCTAATTAAAACAGATTGAGTTGAACATTAATAAGCTAAACGTTAATCCACTTCACTGACAATTTCAATTACCTTCGAAGCTTTGCTTTAGTACGGCGAATAATCGACTATCAACTAAAGAAGCTTTTCGCTCTGATTAAAGGAGCGGCAATTCTTTTTTTGTTGGGTTTAAAGGCTTGTTTAAAGTTTTGCGGATTTGAAAAAATGCAATCGAATATTTGGAGAATAATAAGAACAATAAATCCTCACTGTTTAAAGCAGATAACGAAATGCACGTTTTTATCAAATTTATTGTATGACAACTATTAATTTGCTGCACCCGATCGAAAATGCATTCGCATTAAAACCGCCCGAATTTTATAATAATAGAGTTAATTTCCATTTCCCACACAATCATTAAAATATATATCAAACCCGATGCTTAATACGCGCTTTTCAATGTAATTTTAAAGCTTATTTTGTATGAAAAACAATAGACCCATTCGGTTTGGAAACCCACATTTCCCGTTAATCCGCACTAGATCACTTATTAAAAATGACAGAAAAATGCATTGTTTCAACCATAATGCAAGTGTTTCAATTTTGCGTTTGCTCGTTAATGAACTGTTTTGTTGTCGAATATCATTGGAACTGTGTGTCAATTTTATTATGATACTGAATGGCTTTTGCGTCCGAACAATGCGAAACCACAAAAAAAAACAAACACACACAATTCCCGTTTTGTTCAAAGTCAATTTTTCCATGGGCTGCTTTTTGAATGCGTGTACACCTAAGCTATACAGAATGGTCTTAAAAAGTGTTACTTACTTTACTTACTTTGAAATTTGACCAGAAAAACCAAAAATCTCACAATTCGATTGATAATATTGCTCAAAAGAGAAACTACACTGCTTTAAGTGCGGAAAACCTCACTTGAATAGAAAATTTCTGGGAGTTTTGAAGATTTTTCGGACCCTGAAACGAAGCGATTGGTCAGTGGACAACACCGATTTCTCAAACATTTGCCAAAATAACAACTTGCTTGGACAACATGGATTTTTCAAAAGTTCACCAAGAGAAAACCAAAAATTCGTGAATGAGGCTCATAACATCACTCGAGAGAGAAAATATGCGGCTTTAAATGAGGAAAACCTCGCTTTAATAGAAAATTTCTAGGAGGAGTTTTCAGGATTTTTTCAGGTACTAAATCGAAGTGAATGGTGCTTGGACAACATGGATTTTTCAAAAGTTCGCCAAGAGAAAACCAAAAATTCGTGAATGAGGCTCATAACATCACTCGAGAGAGAAAATATGCGGCTTTAAATGCGAA